CTTCTTCATGTCTCTTCTACATCAACATGTGTCCCCTCTTCTCCATGTCTCTTCTACATCAACATGTGTCCCCTCTTCTTCATGTCTCTTCTACATCAACATGTGTCCCCTCTTCTTCATGTCTCTTCTCATCAACAGTGTCCCCTCTGTCCCCTCTTCTTCATGTCTCTTCTACATCAACATGTGTCCCCTCTTCTTCATGTCTCTTCTACATCAACATGTGTCCCCTCTTCTTGAATCAGCACTTTGGAAACAGGGCTGAAACAGAGGGGATTATGGGTAATGCTGCAATGATCTGTTTGGTGTTTCAGCCAATCAGAGACAGGCTCTGGATATATCTGAGACCTGTGATATATTGATGAAGAACAGGGGGGACCTTTAAGCTGAGGCACTGCAGAAGATACAGAAGGTTTTTGTTTATTTAGAAGACAGTTGAGAACAGTTCACCTGTTCCAATGAAATAGTTGTCCGAACAGGGAGTAGTAAACATTTGCAATAAGGGAGCAGTAAACATTGAAACTCTACTTCTCATTGTCCTTTTTAAAATAGTTTTAGGTGCATCTTATACGATGTTCATGAACTTTAAACAATAACAGAAGGGATGTCTCGTAACAGAGTGAGGGACATAACGGTCCAACAATCAAGAAATTACAGTATTTTGTTAATTACACCAAGCAACCTTTTTCTTTTGGTGATGGAACTGGATATCAGCTCCAGAAGATGCTTTTCATTACAATATTTGAGAGTAATTGTATTACAAAATGAATTTAAAATGACTACCGGTATTTTTGTTTTTCATTAATGCAACTCCAATCATTATTTTAAATATACTTAAATACGTTTTTGTTCTGATTTCTTTGTGTGTAATTTGTATTTATTCTAACCTTCTCATTTGAACAGACTCCTGCGAGGGAGACTCGTACTTCACGGAGATGGCTGACGATGATCTGGACTTCGCAGGGTGAGCAATCTATTATTTATATATGAATGACCTGTGGCACTTCCAACAACATGCACAGCACTGCAGAAACAACACTATGTAGTACCGTTTGTTTTATTCTTTGAGGCTAAAATGCTCCCAGAGTTGGTTTTTGTCTGTTTGCTTGAGCGATCTTTATTTGTAAATGTATTGAGTTGTTAATCTTTTTTTTTTTTAAATGTTTCGTCAACCTTTTTTAAATTAAATAATAATGATAAATGTTGATATAAATATCTAAATAAAAAGAGAATAAGAAAACACAAGCACACTTGTCTGTTATTTGTTGAACCTTAGGGACTGATTTGATCATTCTCTTCTCTATGTCAGTAATGTGAAGGCCAAGAAGAAGAAGAAGAAGGATGCGGAGGCGTCGGACTCGGACGACGACGACTCGGACGCGGACCTGGACGACGAGGAGGTTTCTCTGGGCTCCATGGACCAGGAAGACTTCGGAGACGAGCTGGAGGAAGAGGGGGGGACGTTCATGGATCCTGACGGGGGAGGAGAGGATGACGACGATGAAGAAGGTGAGGCAACGTTTCTGGGAGTGGCCGGGAGTTATATCTCGTTTTCTAGACGCGATACACTTGGTGTGACCTGAGAAAATGTGATAAAGAGTCATAGTATGTCCGAGAGAAAAGTCTTGGTTTATTTTGTCGTAGTAGACGTTTCTGGGAGTGTCTGTGAATTCTATCTCCAGTTCTAGACACAATGTTGCGATAAACTTGGTGTGACGTGAGAAAAATATTGATAAAAAGTCATAGCATTGAATGTCAGAGAGAAAAGTTTTGGTTGTGTTTGTTAAAAAAGAAAAAAAAAAGAAAATGACGTACAAAGTTTGTCAAAGAAATCTGAAAAGTCATAGTATAGTATGTAAAAAAAAAATTTAAACACTTGTTGCGAATGTCAACACATAAAAAATAAATGTAAAAAAGGCCATAGTAGTACGTGGGAAAATAAATGAAAAAAACACGTAGTGAAGTTTTTCAGAAAAATGAAATACTTCAGTATGTCCACAATGTTTTGGGGAAAAGTGATAGTTTCCAAATTTGAGATAAAAAAAGTGCTTATGTTGAACATAAAAAAAGTAATCGTATAGTACGTGGAAAATAAATCAAAGAAAGAAGTAATGATTGTTGCAAATTTGCGAAAAATGTCAGTACTATAGTAGGTAAAAAAATAAAAAAATGAAATCAGTATACCATGTCATAAATATCAAATAAAAAGTAATGGTACAGTTTGTTGGAAATTTCTGAAAAAACGGTTATAGTGTGTTGAAAATGTGAAAAAGGAAAGAGACATATTAAAGTTTGTCTGAAATGTCTGAAAAGCAGTGGCGAGCCGTG